AAACAAACTGTTTACATTTAGTTGAGGGAAAAAAATAAAAGACAAGTGGACAAGAAAAAAATGTAGCAAAAAATCCCTGAAGTTTATATCTAATATACCTCAATAGGTTATCTCCCATATAGTGAATAACAGTAGCCATTTCTTACATAGAGTTTAAATAGAGCACAGTATTCAGAGTGACACTTTCAAGAGAACATTGAAATATATTATAACATTGGTTTTTTTTTTTTGGTTAAAGGTAAGACATAACCTCTTTTGTGAATAGTTAAAAGTTAAGAAATAACAATGACAAGTCAACTGAGCCATGAGGAGAGAATTAAAGTTACAACACAACAGCAATGGTTAACTTCTCTTGAGGGAGTTAAATCCCCCTTGAGTGAGTTAACTTCCATTGGGGTGAGTTAACTCCCCCTCGAGTGAGTTAACTTCCCTTGAGTTAACTTTTAGTGTTAGTGTCGTAGGCCTGAGATATTGAAAAAATTGGTTCAAAAAATTCTTTTTATTTTAATTTCATACACACTACAAAAAAGAAAATTACACGTGATTTGCATCAATATATATTGTGAATACATAAACCCTGTTGATTGGTTTTATACACAAGGCCTAGCTATAGAACAAAAGCTATAGAGCAAAAAACAGTGTGGTTTATTATGTTCAATAGAACAATTAACAATCAGATAAAGTCAACTGGTTTTAGAGCCAGTGCTCAAGAAGATAAAAGAAGAAAAAAAATCCCCTGAAAGAATTTGTAGCAAACGAGCAACACAAAGATTGAACATGGAGTTGAAAAGTTATTTACACACAAAAAATGTCCAAGATACAGAATTGTACTTCCAAGCACTATTAAACATTGAGCAGGTTGGTTATACTGCAGTGGTTCTGAGAGTGAGGTTTTAAAAAAAATTGTAAAGATTTTAATGAAAAAATAAATCACTTGTATGAAATATCCCACATTGGAATAGTAAATGCGGTGAAAAAGTTGCCAGTTTAGGAGTTGTGGAAAAAGTTTGACTAAGCAGATTATTTTGACTAAAATACAAAAGTTTTATCTGGCCAAATCACAAGATTCTTTTTATACTGCTGCAATTAATCTTTAATTACCCTATTTCTCCAAAGCTAAAACAGGAACCTAACATGACTAACTCCATCTAGATGAGTCCAACTTACACCAGCCATAAGTTAACCTTTAACCCCTTACTAGTAGTTCTAACCAAGCCAAACAATATTTACCAGAATTAAATCAAAACTATTCTCAGCACAGAATACAATCTGCCATAAACAATTTACCGCTAAAGCTGGGAATTAGTGTGAACTTCTCTTGCGAGAATCTATTTGAACTGTCTCAATGACTCGTTGTTAGTCACATAAATATCTGAACAAATAAAAGCTTAAAAATATACCACATCTTCTGATAGTGGTGAGCGCAAATTGATTTTTTCCGTTGTGTCAAGCATCATGTCAATATTGAAAGCATGTAAAAAGCAAAAGACAATTCTTTATAAATATATTGCTAACTTGCTGTTATATTTGAACTTGTCAAGAAGGCAGCCTGTAGATAATACTGTGTTGGAGTGAAGCAAGAGATGACGGCAACACAAGGGTTAACACTTGTCTGTCTACAGTCTCGCTACTTTTCAAACAATAGGAATACTTCAAATAACTAAAGATTTGCTACGGAACTTAAAGTTAGATATAACTGGGATAAGAATACTTAAGAGTTGGTTAAGTTTGAACATATCAATTAATTGAAATTAAGCTCTAATGTATTGTTACTAAACCCCATCTAGTTAAGCATGAATGAAGTTTTGCCCATCCAGCCTACGGTGATATAAAAACAAGGATCATGTGAGACAGGATAGGAGACAGTGCCAAAACTAAGATCTAAAAAAACTGAGCTGTCATGGGAGACTTCCAACAGCTAAATAAAAAGTTCAACTTGTTGCATCAGATCAGAATAAAGCACACATAAAACTTAACAAAATAATACAATAATTTTTTTTTATTTGCTAGAGAAAAAAATTGAAAAAATAAATCTTAAAATCAGATCTTTGGATAAAATGTAAGTAAACAAATAAAAAATGTGATGGAGGATTTCAATAGCTGCTGTTGACAGAAGGAGCACAGTAAAAACAGCTGGATAGATCAAATAAAAGGTCAGTTAGTTGAGATCCTGATACAGTGATATCATTTACACATCCATGTGGAACACAAAACACCTGACAAAACTGAGGGTTACCCACGTCCAGATTTTTACAAAACCTAAACACAATTCCAGATTTTTACAAAACCTAAACACAATTCCAGATTTATACAAAACCTAAATACAAATATCAATACTACATTTAAATTCATATTCTTCAAAGAAATGCATTTGTTTTAACATAGTAATTCTGACAAAATCAAAGCATTAATTATTTATTTAGGTTTGTTTCAAACAGAAAGAAATATTTTAATTTGTAACCTGTTCCACAATTTATGCTAGATTTGAGCTAATCATTCAATCCAAAATTTATTTAAATAAAATATTTATACAATAAAAAGAATTATGCTTTCTTTCCTATAATAAAAATATTTCATGAAAATAGGGAACTTAAAATTCAGACAAAACTACATTAAAATTATAACTAATTAGTCATAGAGATGTATAAAGAGAAAAAAGCAAAACTTCCCAACTATTGTAAGCCAAGATGAATACATAAGACAAACTTCACTAAAGATTTAGCAGGGGAAAAACAAACCATAGCACTATTATACATTTCCAAGCATGGATGAAATAACATTTAGTATATCACAACTCTGGTGTCATATATGGTGTAGAAGAAACACAACAAGAAAACAAAAATTGAAAACAAATCTTGTGACATGAACACAGAGAAGCTCTTAACACATGAGAAGTGACGTGGTATCACGGAAAATCACAGGTGTTTTTTTTTGTTGTCACCAAACACATCACACCACAGCCCTTAACAACCAGGTGCTTTGCGTTGGTTTTCATTTGTTCTTGTTATTTAGACTAACCAGATCACCACTAGAATAACATGATGCAAGTTGTACCGATACACTTTACAAAGAAAGAAAAAAGGAAGGACAGAGAGGAAGAAAGAATGGCATGTACATAGAAAGAAAGACAGAATTTATTTGTTATCTGCTGTGCATATACACAAGCATCGAGAGAAAATATTTGTAATTTTGAGGTAATTAAGAAAATTTACATGTAATCAGGCGCCATCCAAATTTTCTACTAACGTAGTCATCAGATGGACATAAATTAGCATTTAATTAATTAAAGAATTAGTCATGGCTAGTTTATAGTTTTGCAGAAAATATAAAAAAATTTTTTTTGCAGAAAAATGAGATTTATTACATGTAAAAAAAAAATAGTATGCAATATTCACTGGATTGTTTTTATAATAAAATACAATAGCAACCAGTTGAAAAATTGACCACATATAAAATGTACCTTTAAAATGGCACTGAAACATGTCATGGGTTCAAAGAAAGATATCAGTAACATAAACCAATCTGTTGTCCACTTGCTAATACATCATCAACATTTATTTATACCTTCCAGTAATAGATAAACAAAGAATACTCAGCCACAAAATATAAGTTCTGTATATTATTACAGTGGGTTAATCCTGAACATTGCTCTATACAGCCAAACATTCATAAACACAGTTCAAATAACTTCAATCATGACATCATCTAGGTTTAATGCCTCACATACTTTCATCAAGTAAACACGCTCATGAAAATCTAAGAGTTACAACTTCAAATGCTGTACATGCAAAATACAGACCCGAGTCAATAACACCCCACTTGGTTAAAATGTGTCTGTTCATTAGTACTGATCCAAAATTCCCCTTTATTGTTATTTACATTGTTGTAAGATAGTAAGTCTGCAGTAAAAAAATAATTTGTAAATACATTTTATTGTTACATATAATTTGACTATTTTACTTAGTAATTTTATTCAAGGAAATATTTTGGCTTTTTGGAGACAGAAGTAACAATTTTGTTTGTTCAAACAATAATTTTAAGAATTCATAGCATGCAAGAATTTTGTTTCATTAAACTGGTGGTTGACCAAGTTTTACATCCACCCAAGATTAAATCCAATAGAAATCTAAACCCAGTAGATATAAAACAATATTTCCACTCTTTTGACATATTAGGATAATGATCTAATTGTTAAGACTAACAAAGGTGTTGAAAATGAAAATGAATCAAAGTTAATAGCTGTAACAAATTTTTTTAAAAAGATATGTTTAGTTTAACAAATTGAAATTCAATATAAAAAAGATCAACTACCTAGATAGCAAAGTACATGGATTTAAAGAAAAAAAAACATTTACAAATTTACAGCATTGTAAACAAGGTATTAAATTTGTTATAAAAAATGTGAATACAAAACATCTGAACTTTAAGTCAAACAGAGAACTGTTGAGCATGTGATTTTTAGAATAATGAGCTGCCGGCTAATTGAGATCCAACATTTCACCTTCCAGCTCATTATTTTAAAAATAAGGAGTTATTTCTCCATCAAACATTTAAAGTACAATAATATATTTGTCAATGGGATAATGTACAGCTGTTTTAATTTGCAGGTTAAAAAAGATACTTAGCATTTTTTTAGCTTGGCAATGTTGAACAAAGATACAGTCAATATTTAAAAGAAAAAAATATTCAGATCTTGCTGTCACTTTGTTCGTTACCACACAAATGAACTCACATTTTATAGATGAACATAAGGAAAAAAGTCAAATGATAAACTAGTAAAAATCCAAACTCTAAAAATAATTGTTGCTATACATGGTAGTCCCAGCGCAGGTAGGCTGGGGTTCTCCAGTGTTGTGGTCATCAAGCGAGAATATGGCAACTAGTTGAACACATTGGATCAGAATGCTGATAACTGGATAAGTAAAGCCCTTTTTAACTGGACCACATCAATAACACTTAGGAGCAAAACAATATCTCTCATCAATGCATGTTAACACACATTCATAGTCCCACAGTACTTTGTTTTGCATTGAATTCTCAAGATAAAAAAAATAATACAATAAGTTCTATTTAAATTCAAATCATTATCAATTGGTGTATTGATTACTTTTTGACACTAATGAATTAGAACATAAAGAAAACAAAATGAATTTTGCAAATTCATTTAAAGATTTCACATTTATTATGGATTTCATAGCAACAACAAAAAAATGTATTCAGAGGATTTCTCACAAAGACAATGAACAGGAAATCAATGCCTTAAGTTTATCTAAGCTAGCCATTTATTTTCATTATATGAATGTGGCCAGATTTCAGATGGAAAATATATTAATAAAACAAATGCTGAGATTATACGTAAAATGTTAGATTTACTTCTTAGAATAAATATCACATTCTATGTTATCTGATGTCATGGCATCAGATAGAATCAGATCATATATGACAATACATGTTATAAATGTATCATAAATCTTTCTTCTTTTTGTTCTCATTGGTTTGGAACATTTTCTCTTATTCAGCTTTGAGCCTCTTCATGTCAACCATTTCACTAAAGCCTGGACTGTGGGGGAGGGGCTTGTCCCTGTACACGGAGGGGGAAGAGCTGGTGGGGGCTATCTTGTACTGGTGTGCAGGGGAGGGTACCAGAGGTTTTGATGCATGGGCTGGGCTTGGGGTGTCAATACGGTTGTTGTTGTGGCTGACATTGTTGTTGTTGTTACTGGGGGAGGTTGTCATGGGCTTGGATGAGAAGGAAGGAGAAATGGGCTTGCCTGAGGTGTAGGGTGCCGAGGAGCTTGGGGAGCCTGCAGCTTCTCTCCTTGCGGCTTCTTTGGCTTTGTATTTCATCAGCCTAGTCTTGTGGCTGTCTTGCTGGCAGTGACCTTTAAACTCCAAGATGGTGGAGAACTTCTCATTGCAGGCCCTGCATTCATATTGTATCTGTTCCAACTTCATTATAGGTTCATATCCTTTGGGCAGTGCTGCTGCATTGCCCAAACAGACTGACCGCTGGTGGACAACACAAGACTCCCTGGCGGGGTACACCATCTGGCATTTCTTGCAGATGTAACCCACGTCCAGTGTGGCCTCGGCCGCCACAGTCAGGTCAGCAGACGTGACGACACTGTGAAGGTCAGCTAAAGCCTGGCAGTCCTGTGTGTACCTGGCCAGCACCGCCCCCGACTCAGCCAACTTCTCACTGACAGATTTGATGGCCGCAGCTGGGATCTGTAGAAGTGGTAGAGGGGTACCATAGGCCAGGGGGTCATAGGCCATCATGTGCTCGCCACCTAAGGAGATAAACACTTCATGTTTGCTTTCAATCATTCAAATAAGATTTAGTTTAAATATAACAGCTCATGTTAGCAAATAGAGCTTACAAGGCTACAGACTGTATTGTTGTGTCATTAGATTAAATGCAAGAAAGTGACAATATGTTTTTGTTAATATTTTAATTGTCTGTTAGTTTTATGTTTTAATATTTTCTCCTGTGTGGTTTGGTGTACTATAATTAATGAATACAACAGCCATGGTGCATTTAAGACTAGTGAGCTGTATAAAATGTACAGTGAAGTCAGGTGAGCTGGATGAAGTGTACAGTGAAGTCAGGCATATGAAATGTACTGACCTGGCAAGAGACCTGGTTGGACAATAGACAGCCCCATCCCAGGGAAGTAACCAGGAAGTCCAGCGTACATGTAGGTCAAATAGGAGGCGGGGTCAATGCCTGGCATGTACCCACCCAGGGCAGACATCATCTGGGCATTCATGGCCATCTCCATGGCAGCCTGCACCTGCTGTTGCTGCTCTTCTTTGGACATGGAAGCTGGGCAAGGAAGAAATAGGAACATAAGTCAACTTAACTTACACGATGACCCTTTTAATAGGCGTACATGTTGCTAGTATTTTACTTTACCAAAATCATGCTAGGTACACCTTGTTGCTGAGTGAGCTCAGTGACATAATAAAGTGATATATTCCAACTAGGAGGATCAAGTGCATGTGATGGTCCCTCCCCTACCCTCCCACATGAGTACAAAGTAAAAATAATAGTTCTCACCATCTCCTTTCTTTTCCTTCCTGGCAGATTCAGGTTTCTCCACAGATTTCATACTGCTCTCTCCTGCAGGAAACAAATAGGGGAAAATTTAAACTTTTCTTAATACTTTGTTTTTGTTTCTATTATAGCCTAAAGTCTTAATAGCTAAAGGTTGAATATATAAAAGCTAATGGGACAGGTTAGTGTATAGAGTTATGTAGGTGAGTGTGGAGCAACTCAAGATGACTGAGTAGCCAAGCCTGTTACAACATCCAGGGACCAAACCAACCTGGGCCAAGAGGGAAGCCCATGGCAGATGGGTTGATGCCCATGGCAGAAGGGTTGATGCCCATGGCAGATGGGTTGATGCCCATGGCATGGAGTTGAGCAAGGTGGCTGGAAGAGACAGAGTCGTCCCACATCTTTTGGGCGCGGTCAGCCTCACCTGGAGTCCGAGACAGACCGGCCAGACTGCTGCCAGACATGTCAAGGTCACGGTCACTCTCTGAGTGCAGGAAGTTTTTCACCCTGTCAATGTGCGTCTTGGTGAATATATGATCCTGGACCTACAAAATTTGAAACCAATTTCAAACATTTATAATTTGAAGTTAAATAAGAATTCTGCTTTGTATTTCAGTAAATAAAAAGTTTAAGCTTAAAGCATTAAAACTAGAACCAACAATGTAGAGGCTGAAACCCAACTCACAGTGACTTTATGCGTGTACTTGTAGTTGCAAAGTTTACAGTCCTCTGGTGACTTGGGGAAGTCCATGTCTCCACACAGGGGCTTGCCAGAGTTCAGCTTGGCCTTCTTCTCTTTGGCCCTGGCGTTCTGGAACCACACCTGGACCACACGCTTGGCCAGGCCAATCTCATGGCCCAGCAGCTCACACTCTGCCATCGTTGGGGTCTTGTAGTCTTGGAACAGGTGTTTCATGACCTTCACCTAGAGAGAAACATGACAGGTTTACAGACTTGAGCACAATCCCTGACATAGTTGTCTTTACAACGGGAATGTGCTGTCATCATTAGCATGACTTACATAACCTGTTTTGAGTCATAAATAACCACATATGTGGTGATGTATAGACAAAATATATTTCTTATTTAATTTAACACATTTAAAAACATATTGAAGAAATAGAGACAACTAAAAGTGCATGAAGGAATGCAGTTCATGCATAGTAGGCAAGAAAAATTTCAACCAAGCAAGAACTAAAAACTAAAAAACAAGGAATGAAACTAGAAACATTTATGAACAAAAAAATAAAACAAAGTAAAAGAACCTAAAGCAGCTTTTAATGCTAAGATAAACAAAGAAAAAGAAGTAGCTACTAAAGCTAAGAAATGAACCGTGGATGAATTAGAAGAAAAAAAACTCCTTTAAAACTAAGAGAAGAAACAAGCCAAGTAAAAGAAACATCCTCTACAACAGCAAGAGTGTGAAAGAGTTGTCACCGTGACTCACCAACTGATGTGAGCTTAGTTTCTAGTGCAACTGAAGGACAGAGAGAAGAGAAGAGGATGGATAAAATATACAACCTTTCCTACCTGAGTAGCTGACATCTGTGTCCTGTAACGCTTGCCTGAGGAGCCGGGTGTGTTACCACTGTGGTTCAGGCTGCCGTTGCTGGTGAGGGATGGGGAGGGTGGGCTGCCTCCCATTTCATTCATGTAGTCATTGTCCGCCATTTCAGACTGGGTCTCTGAGAAGGAATCATCCAGGCTGTTCAGGCGCCTCAGGTACTCCATCTCCATGGCTCTCTCATTGAAATCCTGACTGCTTGCGATGCTGAGTCTGGATGTGGACTCAGAGTGGCTGGTGGCTGAGGCGGATGGCCTGACAGGTTTGCTGAGGTCTAGAGGTGCGTCTTCACTGGGAGGGAGCACAGGTAGCTGGGGTGTACTCTTTGGTTTGTGGGCGTCCAGCGGCCGAGCTGTAGAGGGGAAGCTGGCTGAGGGAGGGTGGTTGCTGGACTTGGGGGTGTGAGGGGGATTGCTTGGTGTGGGGGTTTGGTGTGTGGGGATGTGGCCACTGTGGTCCTGGCGCCCAGCAGACATGTTGCTGGCTAGCTCACTCATGTACTTCTTGAAGAAGGGGTCCTCAAATGATGGGTGCCCCAGCAAGTCTGGCGTGGGGGACGAGAACGGCAGGTTGAGGGCCCCTGCTGATGACATGAATGCCATGTAGTTTGGCATGGTGGCGGCAGATCCAGGTGGGAGGAGCTTGCTTATATCTGAGCCGTGATTGGAGGAGCCAGACATAGATCCCAGACTGTGGCTGGATGGCGGTTCAATCATGGCATCAGGTATCAGGTCTATGTTGATGTCTCCTTTAGCCATCTCTTCAGGGTGTTTGGTGGCTAAATGTGACTCAAGGGCCGACTTGGCTCGGAACAGTGCTCGGCAGAATGGGCATCTTTTGTTTATAAGCTGTTGGTGAGCTCTATAGTGACCTTTACGCTCTCGTGCACGAGTATTTTGGAACCAAACCTGCACAACCCTCTTCTTCAAGTTTACAGTGCTAGCAATGTGCTCCAACTGCTTTCTACTTGGGTTGCAGTCAACCTGAAGAATCAAAACAGTTTTAAATGGTCCCACAGGAACAATGGTAAAATATACTTTTAAACTTATTATAAACACTAAATGAAATTATCAGAGTTTAAAGCTAGAAGTTTCAGATAAGTGAGTTTTAAGACAAATAAATAGTTTTAGAACTATATAACACTAGCAGATACTGAAGGAACTAACCTGATATTGCTGATAGAGATAGTCGAGTTGCTCTGGTAAAATTGTAGTGCGGAGTCTCTTGTCTCTTGGCTGCTCCCCACTCTCATCTTCTGAGTCCGTCTTCCTCTTGGAGGATGGTGAGGGTGACGTGGATGAAGATGTGGGGGTGGTTGCCATGGAGGAAGATGGCTGGGAGGCTGAGATTGGGACAGAGACTGCGGATGGTAGAAGTGAGTTTGGCGTGCTCATGCCTGCCATGGACGTCAGGGCCTTGTCGTCCTGGTGTGCCAAGTTCTGGAGCATGCCGAAAGCTGAGCTGGATGAGAAAGGTGTGAACATGGCTGGTGCAATGCTGTGTGCTTTCTGGTGGTCCTGCCATGCATCAAACCTGGAGAAGGTCACTGTGCACTTGTCACATTTGAAAGTGGGCAGCACAGGAGTGGTTGATGAGGCCAGGGACTGGGATGATGATGTTGAGGACTGAGAGGTGCTGGGTAGCTTGACTGTGGCGGTGCTGGAGGCAGTCATTGGCTCCTGGGGCTGCGACCTGGGGAAGTAGTCCCTCTCTCTGATGGCTGATGATGGTGTGCTCTGGCGATCTGAGAAATTGGAATCATCGTTGGAGTAGCTGAAGTTGCTGTCATCTTCTATCATAGCATGCATTGGTTTGTTGTTGTTGGACTCCCCAACACAAGAGTTCTTCTGGTGTTTGATAAGTTCGTAATAACGTTGGAAGACTGAGTTGCATTTTTTGCATTGATAATTTAAACCCGGGGTGCGCTGGAAAGGACTTGTGACTTCTTTAGGGTTTTCTGCAGGTGGCTGATTTTCATAGATTTTTCTGGCTTTTTGTCGAGCATTCTGAAACCAAACAACGATAACGCGAGCGCTCAGGCCAAGAATTTTAGACAGGTGCTCAAGTTCATCGTCTTTAGGATATGCATTTCTTTCAAAGTAATCTTGCAGTGTTTTAATCTGGTAGTCTGTGAACCTGGTCCTGTTGGCTCGTTTTCCCATGCTCTGGAATGTTGCTGCTTCCAGTCTGGCTATGTTAGCAGCATAAGACTCCAAGGAAAATGCCAGTGAGTTGGCAGCATTGATAGAGTTTGCTGTGAGGATAGGGGTGGGTGTGGCCGGGGCAGAAGCTGTGGGTGTAGATGGAATGGAAGACATATTGGATGGTGATGAGGTATTGGAATGGCTTTCTTGCTCCTTTCTGCTCTCATCACAAAGTTCATTCTTTGGAGCCAGATCAATTTTTAGTGGTGGATTATCAAGTACTTCCTCCTCATGCTCATCTTCTTTCTCAGCCCCCGTCTCCACCTTGACCACAGTGGTTTCTTTCTTGACATCCTGAACAGCTGAGGCAGCAGGTTCTTCTTCCTCCTCTGGTTCAAGCTTGACCTCGGGTATCTTGCCTGTCCTGTCATACTCGTCCAGGTCAATGGAGGTAGATGGCGGGTTGTTGAAGTTGTATGGGGAGTCCTTGTTTCTCTGTCTCTCCTTGAACAAAGTGTTCCTGAACCAGTGCTTGATCACCTTCTGGGGGAGGCCGGTCTGGTCAGACATCTTGTTGATCTGCTCCTCACTGGGGGAGTTGTTGATGTCAAAGTACTGCCTCAACACTTTCAGCTGGTCGTCACTGATTCTGGTCCTGACGCGCTTCTGGTTCTGGGCCTGCTGCGCAGCTGCGGCAGCTGCCTGGAGTTGCTGTTGTGTGGTGACGTTGGAGGCCGAGTCCACCATAGACTGCGTCGACATCTGAGGTAGGTAGGTCTGAGAGAGGTCAAGGGTCGGCATCATCAAGGATGGAATTAGAGAATTCTGCAACCCCAAGCCAACCAGATTCAAAGGCAGGTGCATAGGTAGCATGTTTAGGCTCATGAGAGGTAAAAGTTGGGACATGTCAAAGTTGGCTGGCAGTTGGGGCTGGGAGGGAGGAGGGGGTGGGGGCATCTCTATCATCTTCTCTGAGATATTAGTGGGGGTGGGTGAGCTGGAGGGTAGGGACCCATAAGAATCATGCTCTGATACTTTGGGTAAGTTCTTCTCCCAGTCCTCTTTAAATTTCTTGCCAAAGTTCTCAATGAAATCAGGGGAAACAAAATGGTTGTGGATTTCTTCCTCGTGATTCTTCAGAACCCAAACATTAGAAAAGTCTTTGTGACAGGTGCCACACCTGCACTTCCCCAGCTCAGGTAGGTCCAGGTTTTCCTTGTTCTCATCTCTCTTCTCCTCTGTTTCTGACTCGAAACATTTCTCCAGATTTCCCACACTTTCCTCAACTTCAACTTTCTCATCAACTTCCATTTTTTCAGTTTCTTCATCTTTTTCTTTGGTCACTTCTTTTTCATCAGATGTTGGAGTTTCATCTTTCTCTGGTGCCTTGGTGTTTCCTGCACAGTGCTCTTCATTGTAATGCATGACACATTCAAAGCCAAAGTTCTCCAGCAAACTACGGTGTAGCTGGGGTTTAAATCTACCCATAAACCCACGAGGCCTGGCTATAATGGGTGCGTGAGGAAAATTTGGCGGCAGCTCCTCATCTTTCTTGGGATTCTTTGGATCAAATGAAAATTTATCAGCAAAATTCAACTTAGATTTACCATCAGCATTGGCTGGTTCGATTTTACCATCCTGCTTGATAATCATGTTGACAATTTTCTCTGGCTCATGGGATTGACTTGCTCTCATGAGCTTTTCTTTGGTAGAGTTAGATAGTTTAGAGTTCTCCCCCCTGGAGTTCTCACCATGGTTGAGCTTGAACTGAGATGCCAAGGATGGATAGTAGGCTTCCAGCTGGGCATTGGACATGGCAACTAGAGCATTCTGTGCAGCTGTATTGAGCATGTGGCTGGTTGTTGGACTTAGTCCCTGGAGAATTGACAGCTGGGCCATGGTGTTCAGCCCTTGCATGCCTTGGAGGTTGTTGAAATAGCTGGCGTTGGATGCCGCCTGCGCTGTTGCCTGTTGATGAATCAGGTCTGCAATGATTTGAGCCTGTTGTTTACCCGCTGAGCGAGGGTCAGGGTGTTCTATCAGAGCTTGATGAACGTCTACCTGCCCTGAGTGGATCAGCTCTCCCAACTTGCTGGCTTTGGTCTTGTGGCCGACGGAGCGCAGGTGAATTTCAATACTTGGTTGGTTGTTGTAGCTGACCTTGCATATATTGCATTTGTACGGCTTGCTGTTGCTGCTCTCCATACCGGTCTCATAGCCTCCGTTTGATTGGGCCATCCCAGATGGGGAGTTCACATTGGGGGATGGTGACAAGGGAGGAGGGGTGGAAAGGGACCCTGATGTGTTGAACAGATTCTCCCCGTTAAGTTGGTTGTGCTGCTTCATCCGATGCAGGTGGGACACGGAGTTGTAGTGGACCATCAGGATATTCTTCTGGGTAAAAGACTCTTTACACAGCTCGCACCTGTAGGGCCTTGAAGGGTCGTCAAACTTCTCAGACATCTCCAACTGCCTGTGTTGGGATGTCTTGTTGTGAGAGAGCAGGTAGCGCTGGTTGGTAAAAGCCACCCGGCACTTGGTGCACTTAAACTTGCGGTTCACATCTCTGTAATGCTCCTCAGCCATGGACTGGCTGTTCATGTAGTCTTCAAAAAAATGCTTTTCTCTGTAATGATCCGTCATTCCATCCCCTTCATCCATCTCATCATCATTTCTTTCTATATTTTCTTTCATGTCTAGACCATTGGTCAACTTGCCCTGACCTGATTCTTCCTCATTACAAAAATAGCTTGGCTTGCTTTGACTGTTACCATTAACCATTAACATTTTAGACGTGAATTGTTCAAAAGCTGGACTGCTGAACAGCAGTGCAGCATTTGCTTCTATACCTTCCATCTGAATGGTCATATCAGCTAGGCTCATGTCCCCATGGGTGACTTCTAAATGCTGTCTCATTTTAGCAATGGAGCTTAGTTTCCGAGAGCATATCCTGCAGTGAGTAACAGACTGCAGCAGATGGATTAGTGTGTGCCTCTGCATGACCTCTAAAGACTTGAAACAGTAGCTGCATTGGCCACACTTGAACTTGTAGGCCTCGAGTTCCTGAGCAGATAAGGTACCAGCCAGAGATTTCTTGGCGTGGATCTCCCTGAAGTGAACCTGTAGCGCCACGGCTGTCTTGAAATACTGATTGCACCCTTTCTTCCAGCACAAATAACCTGGGCCCTTGGGAGTCTGCTTCAGCTCCAAGTGGCCCAGTTCGTTCTGGTGGCAGTAGAGTTTGTCAATGTTGCTAAAAGTCTGATTGCATGTTTGGCAACGGAACAAATCTTCAAATTCTTTATCCAGTTTCTCTTGAGCAGCAAGGTCTAAACCTAGTCGATGAGAAAAAAAGTGAGTTCAGAACAAAAGGAACATTAACTAAAGTTTGACAAAAAATACATGCTTAAAAAAAAACTATCAGTTCTTGAAACATTACAATAGTCAGATTGATTAATAATACCAAAATCCAATGTACCAATAGTTAATTAATCTTGTTACCAAGACGATGTTAATGTAATTTTTTACTCAATTAGATGTTAGGTAAAGGCATGATACAAAAATATGCCATAATTATTACCCAATTTATTAGCACACATGTAAACATACACAACTACACATTATCATGTGCTAAATATTTCACCAGGTGTGTCAGAAAGAGGCTGACATAATTAAGCCATAATTTATATTTTACAATAATTGCAACACAGCCTAAGGAAATGAGCTATCGAGCAGTTAAGTTAATGCTGTGGATATTAAATTGGCTAGGTAACATATGGGGACTAATTAGCCACAACCGCAGCATCTAAACAGAAGCTGTGCTGGTGTAAAACAATTCAGTGAATCAGAGCAGAAACTACACACATGATTATAGGTGTGTACAGCTTTCCATTGTTTTATTTAAAAACAGTACTGCTCCATTAGTCAAGCAATCATTATCATCAAAGATTTCAACTCGAAACCTAACCACAATGCTTAGGTAATACTATTGAATACACCAATGGTAATGATGATATTGATGGTGGAAAACTAATAAAATAAGAATAAAACTGCGCAGTTTCTTAAAATTAATCAATAAGATTAATTGTGCAGTTTATTAGCAAAACAAAGATTTCAAATAGGATAATTCAATAAGATTAATTTTGCTGTTTGTTAACAAAATGTTTATTTCAGCTAGGCAAACAGTCAGTAATAACAGTAAGAAAATATGTTACTTGACAAAACAAATAGGTATTTCTTCCTCTTCGTTGGTTATGAGATAGGTATGCAGGGCATAAACATTTACAAGTACCTTATTAATTAAAAAATAATATAAATTAGTCTACACTAAAATGGGGTAGAGCTAGAATTCTGCAATTATTTTTGTGTTGATTTGGAAGGAGATGGGGGTGAGGGGTGGTCCATTCTACTATGATCTAACTTTCCTTGTTATGTTTTTAACTTTTTAAGGGTGCATGATTTTTTGAATTTTCTTAACTAACACGGTTTTGACTTTGATAAAGTAATTGAGTAACATAAAATAAAATGTCAAAGGGGATGATGAATAACTGAAACAATGCCAACAAAAAAAAATAGTAGGTATAGATCTAGAATCTAGATAGTATGACAATGAAGACTATGAACATGATCATGGAATCATATGACTTATTCTAGAAAATTCAAGGAGTCTGGTAAAAGTCTTCTTCTTACTGATTAGCCTACTTACTAAAAATTTGAAGTAAAAAATAGATCTAGACTAGATCTAGAATCTCAATTTTTAAAAAATAATACAGTTACTAGAGATCTAGAGTCTAGATCTAAATCTACTAAGTTAAGTTACAATTATACTTTATTATACAGTAGAAGAATCTAGTGTATTAAATTAATAATTTATTTATTAAAGAACCAGATTTGGTAAGGAAATAGAAATCTAGATTCTAGAATCTAGACCAGATTGAAATTCTAGCTTTAAATTAATTGCTGGATTTCAAGATCTAACTCTAAATTAAATTTTCTAGACTAGCCTAGTGTGTACTGCTAGATTCTAGTTAGATTCTTCTAAATCTAGATCTCTCTAGATCTATAGATCTAGATCTAGATTAATTAGGCAGGATCAACAACCTTTCAGCAACTACTTCCCAACTAACTTTAACCAAAGTTGCCAGATATATGACGTGTGCAAGGACAAAGTTGTAAGCAATAGGCTTGCCTAAAAGGTCTTTTTAAAAGAAAATTATTTTTCCTGTTGAGTCTGCCTAGATCTAGAGAAAATATCCCTTTAACAAAATCTATGGAAAATTAAAATTCACTAACAGCTAAAAATAAAGTAGGCCTACATGCCTGTAGTGGGTGAATTGAACATTTCTTGATACTAGAACAACGCACTGCAATTATAAAATTAATCAAACACTGCATCCTCAGTTCTCAAACTAAGCCTAGCCTACACATTACAAGAAAATTATAATTTGCAAACACGTTTTTAAAAGCGATTGTCGGGAGGGGCCGTGTAATTTTAAAATATTGATTCAAGAAAAGACAAAAAAAAAAGATAGCTTAAAGAAATCTGGTATTTTGCTTTAGATAATCAATATTTCCGAATAAGAAAATAATATTAATAGTTGAAACATTAAACGGCAAAGGACAATCAGAAAGAAACAGATTAAAAAAAAAAAAGATTACAGAAATGGATTCTTGCCTGTTCTTAAGGGCAGCGTATAAGCTAAAGCGTAGTGTATAATGAAAAATCCATCGATTCAATGACAACACACAGAGAATTGAAGAGTTTGTCTAGGTAATGATAAATAATGATAAAACAAGCGGGGAGTGAACTTAGCAGGGAGGGGGAAATTGGTTAGATGAAGGGGGGGGGGGGGGGGGTAATTACATTAGTTAAGACATGGTCATGTTATAAAAATAAAAGTACCATCATGTGACCACAGAATGGGGAAGCCGTGGGGCAATAATTTCATTTACAATTATCATGGCGTTGAGGAGAAGACTATCGACCACGTGACGTTAATAAAACGAAATAGGAGCGGGGTGGGCTCAACTATCGCTCACTACTTCCCGCGTTTTCAGCTTGACCTGGCGATGAACCGGTAATTAATTTAAAAACATAACGAGTTCAAGCTAAGACAACTCGTAAATCAAGTTCTAACTTTCAGTAATTCTGTAACAAATTTTTACCTAAACGAAATAGTTATTTTTAGCATTTTGGCCACTCAGGCCACGATAAAAAGTATTAATCGCATTTTTCTTCTGCCATTTTTTAATGTAAACCAACACGCCCCTGGCTAACCTCGGGATATATTAACATTTCTTGCCTGGGATCTCGTACACTCTCTCCCTAGTCAACGTATAAAACACATTCAAAATCTATTTCACTGCCATTCATTTATCTTACTCGCGCAGTCGCTTAAGAGCTTAAGGCTTCTGAAACGGGAAAACCCAGATGGCAAATTAAACAAATGTGCTTTTATTTAGATAACTAATTTCATTAAAAAAAGATGGCTTCTATGGTCCTAATCACGCTGAGGAATGCAAACACACACATAAGTGATCCGCGCGAGAAGTAATCGAATAATCTCGAATCTAAATTAGTTTTAGATGTGAATAAATACAAAAATAGAAGCGAATTAAAAGCGTAAATAATACGTAAGGTGGACATGTCTATTTGAAACGGACATTATTTAAACGATAGGTTCTTCGCTTTGCCGGCCTGGAGAGCAGACACGTATAGATCTAACATTGTGTAATCCAAGGAAAAGAATTCTTGCCCAAACAGTGGACGGAGCGGTTTGTTCTTAATAATAAAGCAACAGCGCCAAATAAAATATTTCTAGAAGTCGGAGCCCAGGCCGTATAGCACCAGGAAACCGTAAAATAAAGCCCCGGCTAATAAAGGAGAAATAAACGGGTATTTATTCGCTGTGTATTGTTAAAATTTTTGGCTGAGCTATCAAAATATTACATTGTTTAGTTTTTGGTCTTGTGAGTGAAAATACACATATAGGGCTTAGTTGAAGGGGAAAGAGGATGATATATAAAATGTCGATGTATACTAAAATATGTCTAAAATGTTAAATATGACCCGAACTGAAAAAGACGTCTGTATAAAAATAAATGCCAAATAGACGAACAGAAAGATCTAAATTTGTCGATTTACCATTTTTACCGTGTTTTAATTATGTTTACGTATGTTGCAAAAAATAAGGTTTCATATTAAAAATCTGTCTGAAGGGCTAATATAAAGTACAACCTAGGCAAACAATTAGATTATATAAGTCAATTTTATTTTTCCTTTGTTTGTAAAATTTCATTCAACACGACAGCGGGTTTGAAAAGACCAGAACATGTACCAATTAACACAATTGACTTTTAAAAATTTGGCCACTGGAAGCCAACCAGGCAAGTGCAGATGTGTTTAAAAAAAAACAATGGCCAGGATGATAAACACATTACCACAGCTCGCTAGTTACTTAAAGCGTTGGACAAATGCCATTCCGCCCACGGCTTATCTGTTAATTAATCCAGCAATTATTTAACAGTTATTCACATTGCGTTTTACCATTAAAATAAAATTAACAACAAGCTAGCAGCAACACATTGTAACATAATCGCCACAACAGATTTACTGTAATTACGCTGTTTTTTTATGCTTGATGTAAATATAAAATTATGTTAAATAGGCCCATGTGTAGTAGGTTAATATATGAATATTTTTGTTTGTTTTGAAAAATGTTACATTACGATGCTAGACCAAATCTTGAGAAGCAGGCAAACTCTACTCGTCCCACAAAATGCTAGTAAAAAAATAATTAAAAAAATAATAAACTGTTTAAATAAAATGTTACTTATAAATTTTAATGCATCAGAAAATTTAGCAACCCGGAGAAAATGTAATAGAAGGTGGTGTTTGCTATTTCCTTTTGTTTAATTTAGAGCACACTTCTAACTCCCTCTAAACTAAAATTAAAAAAAAAATGCAACGTTATACATCTTAAATTAATTTAAAATGTAGTCAAAATAGTATACGGTTGTCAACTCGATACAGAGTCAGTCATCGTGGTATACTGTAATTTGAACCAACTCAAAATCAATACATTCATTAAAGAAGTTTAAAACAATTTAGTTTTCTTGAATTTCTTAGCAGATTAATTAATTTCAAAAGAATTCTGCAATTAGCAACTGAACACCAACGTCTAACGTGTAATTATTGTTTTAATAATTAAAGCAGTTAATCGTTAGCACAATTAAGATTAACCTCACAAAATGTAAAACAACTTTGTAAAGGTTGAAAAAAAAACATGGTTGTTCCAATAACTATATATATATATATATATATATATATATATATATATATATATATATATATATATATATATATATATATATATATATATATATATATATATACATTGGTCTTATGGAGTGGAAAGTATTGTATTCATGATGAATTAGGTTTAAAGCACAGATCACGTGATAACCGTCGCTAGCCGATCAGCATGTGGTACAAAACAGATCCCCCGTGTGGGTGTGTGTACACGAGTCTAGGTGTGGGGGTCAGAATTAAATCAGATATGTGTGGGGCTTAAACCACGCCTCACGGGGCAATTTTAAACTACGACCCTAAACTGGCGTTGATAACTCTCGTTAACACACGTCACTGTTCAACTACCCTGTTGACACCCATTGTGTGGACACAACACACTACAGAGCTGACCAGTTAACACGGAAACTCAACACATCACACTACACAGCTGACCAGTTAACAGATGAACTCAACAAATCACACAATTGATCAATGTGAGTATTAAGCACACCACAACTAAACTATCGATAGAAAAGAGTTAAAACAAACAGCTGTATAAGTAAAAATAAAACTGTTTTTTCTGCCGTAGACCTGCACGTTGTGCACTGAAGCATCGGGTTAAACTTAATTGGTTGAACCGCTAATTCACAACCCATAGAAAGTGCAACACAAGAGGGTATAGTGCCGACCATTACATAACAATTAGTTGGAAGGGACAGATAGCACAAACGTAAGAGCAATTGGCTTATCGGGCTTAACATTAGCATAATGGATGAAGGCCAATTTCACAATATCCAGTGGTTACGTATTAGAAAGTTCAATAACAAAAGAAACAAAGAAACAGGTTCTCTAAGGATATATATATATATATATATATATATATATATATATATATATATATATATATATATATATATATATATATATATATATATATATATATAATGTGAATATGGCTTATGATCTTTGAAAAAAGAATGTAATTTTCTGTATCGAATTTAATCTACACCGCGCGCCATGCTGATGGCCAAACGCCTCCTGTAGTTGTTAATGACAAAATCTCTTTGTTTCAACGACAGCCTTTTATTTTTAACAAACTTAACGTTATAAAAAACCGATATCATGAAAAATACGGATTATCATTAAATATGAAATAAAACGCGTCGGATTGATTTTTGTTTGTTGTTGATGGTGTCTATGCAGTGTAATTTTCTAAAATGTTAAATTATAATCGGTTCACAGTTGTTTTTCCCCCCTCCTTTCTCTCCTCTTCATAAGAACAATTTGTTTAAAATGTAATTGCTTTTACTGACACTAAATACGCAGATAATTAAAATGACACATTCGTCATAAATCAAATTAAAAAAAAAAAGATTTAATTTAATTTTATTCAGCAGCGAACACCTTGGGTTAAATAGAGGAAATGTAAGGATCCTGTTCTTGCAATGCTGAAACTTTAAGAACATTATCAACGGTGTTGAGTTGCTGTCTATGTAGACTCCCCCCTCCCTCCCGTTTATTGGATGGTTTTTTTTTTGTTGTATGGATCAAATCTTACTTAACGCCGAAGATTCTCCCTTGGTTTTCATAACACAAGAACCGCCCCTTGTTCTCACATAGCCGGCTATCTAGTGTTGGCCGGCTATCTAGTGTTGGCCGGCTATCTGGTGTATTCATCAATACATCTTTGGTTTGGGTTACACGTCTAATGTATTTTACACCTCTAGAGGGAGATTTCAAATTCTCGCATTAAATATTTGAACATTTTTTATTAACATGAAAAAAAAAAAAAAAAAGAACGAGGATGTGCTTTTTTTAATTTGAGAAAGGGAATTAGCCAATGAAGCATTTCTTCATTTTTAAAAACGTTATAAAATATTTTTTTTCATATTCTGAGTTAACATAATATGTACAAATTAATAAATTCAAGTAGATCTAGTTTTCTGTGTCGCCTAACTAAGCACAACATAGGGTTTATATGTTCACAAATATTTTTTTCTGCATTTAGGTTTTATTGTTAATTTGTAATATGAATCTGATAATTAAGTTTTTGTCCGTTTACATTTGTTGAGGCCGGTTACTACCCGCCCATCAGATTTTGTTTGTTTCTATTTTAAATTTACAAACAATGTTTTAAGGTCTACAGACAAGTAACATCTCGTCTCTATACACAACGATACACAAGTGTAGCATTGGGCGTATCCTCTGTTGTTAGGGTGAAGGCATACACAGAGTTTCTTCCAGCCCCCCCCCCCCCCCCCCCCGATGAAAGTCTACCGCCCCCCCCCCCCCCCGAATAAGATGGATTTTATATAGTAAACATACACTTTTACTAGTGTCCGCCCCCCCCCCCCCCCCGGAAAATTTCAAGTGCCCCCCGGAGAAAAACGTCTGGAAGCAACACTGTACACAAATAAAGAGGAGCATCAATCCTTTACAACAGTTATAGTAAAAACGTACTACATTTTATTCAGTAACACCAAGCTCAATGGCGGTAATTTACCCATGGAGATCTACTATATGCTGATGCCAATCACAACATTTCCAGAACATTTCGGTGTGTCATTTAAAAACGCTAGGAATTAATGAATTCATAAAATTTACTATTGTTTCTAGCTCACGGATTTGGTGTACAATTACAAATTTTAAAATATAAAGTAAATTTAATGATATTAATACCAGGCGATGTTTTAATTACGTTAATTAAGAAACTCAAAGTAAGGAATTTCCTGGACACTAAAAACAGTTGAGAAAAAGTCCGAAGTAGACCTACACGGATTTAGACCCGTCTAGCCAGGTTTTAATTAATTGTCGGCCATAATTTAGAGTTGTCGAATTACCGTCTTGGAAATACATAATTCATTTCGCTCGTGTCAAAAATAAATTAATTCAATCAACTTAAATTACGTTCTTACCCCGTGTTAGAAGGTTTATCCTTTTGTTGAAATTAATTTTATTTTAGATTCCAATATAAATTTCACTGCTGATTGCTTTCTATGCTTTATAAAAAAACCATTTAAATAAAAAAGAAAAGCTAGATTCTAGGTTCATTAAGTATGCAATCAAGATTTCAATGGCCAGCAAATTAAGTTAATTAGCATGTCACCGCCTCGGGTTCGAGGTGACTTACTTTAAATGCCTGCCGCTTTAAGCTTCATTAGCTTTCTTTCTTAAGGCCTTTCTTAATTTTATCCTCCTCAAATCAAAACAATATGGCCGATTGTGTAGAGGGGGAGAGGAGGGGGAGAAAGTAGAACTAGGACGTAAAATGTTTATGGCTGTTGTTGATAAATGAGCGAGCTTGATAGTTTTAGTGACAGATCTTTTACTTACTTTACTTAGCGATAATACATCGGCAACGGTATTTTTTAAAAATCTCCAAGAAAGCTGACACCCCCTAAGTCGGCTGGAAGAATGGTTGATTCCACTGAGGCCACTACTGAAACAAAGGCCATCGGAATGGTTGACTCCGTAGAGGCCACCACTGAAACAAAGGCCACCAGCAGTTCGCCACTGCGGGGAATTGTGGCGCAAATGTCGACACCAGTACAGCCGACCAACAGGTATTCTTATATTTAATCGATGTCCAACAGATTTTAAAACACCGCTGTTTAATGAATGTGATTGTAATTAGTCGAGTAATTCAATGACCGTCAAAACGATTACACCGGTTGGGTATGTGGTAGAAGGGGTGGAGGGAGTACAGCATTTAAAAAACAAACAAATCAGGTCATGAGTGATAAACTATTATTGGACATACTTTTGCGCAACAAAAACAACTTTATTGATATTTTGACCCAAATACCTATCCCCCCCCCCGAACATCTGACTCGAACACCCCTGTCCCCACCACTACCACTCTCCCCACCACTACCCCTGTCCCCATCACCACCCCTGTCCCCACCACTACCCCTGTCCCCACCACTCGAATAACGTAACTGTCGTGGTCTTGCAACACGCCATATCTACTACGTAAATCTATTCAGTTTCTAATTGATCAGCACACGTTGGTTACGGAAGAGAAATTTTTATCAGAAATTAATTGAACATAAAATTATAAAACAATCCCGGCTAGACAAAGGAATGCGTCACAATCTTAAAGGACATAATTTTTATGTTTTAGTTTACCAAAACAGACGTAATTGCTGTTCTTTTAAAGTCCGGATTGTTCAGTCCTTTTTAAACCGTCTATATGTGTTTTGATATCTTCGATACATATATATATATATATATATATATATATATATATATATATATATATATATATATATATATATATATATATATATATATATATATATATATATATATCGAAGATATCAAAATACATACATATGCATTTTTTTAGAACTGAACAATCCGGGCTTTAAAAGAACAGCAATTACTGTCAAATATATGAAATGGCAAAATGTTAAAACATGTGTCACATGTGCAAAACACGGAATAAATTAGTCAATGAAAGAATGAGTATGTGCAAGAAGCTGGCAGAAGAGTGTAGTCTTACCTTCTTTGGCCAGAAGACCTGCATGCTCGGCCTCCAGGTGTTCCAGGTCAATCTCTTTGGTTTCGTCGATTGGTGCCATTTGTCTGTTGTCGTAGCCGAAGATGAACGCACCTGTGTAGCCGTGTGGCTCTGTCCTGGTGCCGGACTTCCCTGAGCTGGTGGTGACCGCTGGTGATGGTTGGGATGGTGATGGGGATGGTTGGGATGGTGAGGGGGTGGTTGGATTCAGGGAGTCACGGGAATCCAGTTTGTTATTGTTGTTTTGGTGATAGCTGGTGGCGCCCCCGTTGAATGGGTGACCACCCTTGTGTTCAGGATTGTGTTTAGATTCCCGCGGGTCTTTGTGAGAATGGGCGTCTGTCGAGTCGGCCGCGATTGGGGTGGGAGCCGCGCCCTGGGCGGGGGAGGCAGGCATTTCCACCATCGACATGAGCCGCTGGATCCCCTCGGGCGCAACGTTGTGTTCCTTGACCAGGTGTTCTTCCAGTGGTTTCGTTCCCGCACACTCATGCCTGCACAGGGGGCAGAGGATGCATGGCGTCTCCGGCGCTTTCGTCGTTGTTGCTGGCGGAGGGGTGAGCTGGCGGTGGCCTGAGGATGCCCCGTGGCTGGCACGATAGTCCTCGCCGCTCTGTCGGGTGATGTCTAGCGGCTGACCGCTGCTGGGGCAGTCGCTGTTGAGCTCTGGACTTCCTGCGGTCAGCGGAGAGCTGCGGTTGTTTAGCACGAGAGATCGGCAAATACCTGAAAGAGATGGGAATGTCTTAAGTTATGACGGTAAAACAAATAGTCAATATCTTCTAAATACTTACATATGTAAATATATTTATACATACATACAATAATATAATAATATAAATTTATATATATATATATATATATACACACACATACATATATATCTTCAAATAAATACATACATATACACATATATTCATATACGTAAATACAATATATATATATATATATATATATATATATATATATATATATATATATATATATATATATATATATATATATATATATATATATATATATATATATATATATATATATATATATATATATATATATAATTGAACATGAAAACTAATAAAATAGAAAATTAGTTAATGTCCAGCGAACGAATATCCAAATTCTCCATTTAGTGTGAGTGAGAATTACACACACACCTTAATTGGAACACAGTGAACCATTCAGGTAAGTCAAGAGTAAAGTGAGACTGTTCAGTGTGAGATCTAATCAACGACACAGACAAATAAATAAATACAACAGGAACGACCGTTCAACACGTTCATACACTAATCGTGAATTGTGACACTGTTTTATTTATGCTAATTAGATGTTAATGAGGACTGTCGCATTGGCTGAAGAGTGCGGGTAAATAAGGGGAGGTAAATCCCATTACAGGGATAAGGAGTGATTTACTGAACGTTTCGCGTGTAGTAGATGTACGTTAAGATACCCGAGCTGAATTCACTGATTTCGTTACGCTTCAGTGAACTTGATACTGGTGGTTTTGGCTAAGATTTCAATAGAAATAAACACTTAGCATGTGCAGTAAATGTTTAATTCTCAACCGAGAATTTTGTATATATATATATATATATATATATATATATATATATATATATATATATATATATATATGTATATATTTATATATATCCCTATATATGTTTATGTGGGTGTAAAATATGTTTACATATAGCTACATTTTATTTATATGGTGAACTTGTTTTTCATTAATACCACTGTTGAATTTAACCATAAACGATATATCTAATCTTTTTTCTACATACTTTGCGGAACATATGCTATTTTTTTAATGACGGTAGTCCATTTCAATTACGATTTCATACACTAATTAATTGATCTTTGGTTCTAATATGTATTCACGTGCCCATTATGTAATGAAGATATAATCAAGTTAATGAAAGAAATGCAAATTGAAAGCTAAAGATGCGTCCTTGAAGAACGGCACGCGAGAAAACGTTGTAACTGCTCATCAGAAATTTTTAAAATTTACATTTGAATAAAACTTTTAGTTTACTGTAGAGAAAGTAAATATAAAAGTATAGAGCGCATTTTCAGAAATGAAAAAATGTAAAATGGAGTAAGCATAAATAGATAATTACATAGTTGAATAGTGCGCTCACTTATTTAGGTGATGCCCCCACCTTTGAAACATTTTGGGGGAGGGAAGGGGTGCACTTTATTATATTTTATATAAATTGTTCTGCTCTTTACGTTAATTAAGTTATATTTGTTTAGTTAAGGGCGGGCTTCAATAAAGGACGGGGGTAGTGGGGATCATGGAAGCCTTAACTCTTCAACTTACATCTTCTAATATATCTTCCCCCCCCCCCCCCCTCCTCACAAAAAAAAATAAATAAATAAATAAATAAAACTAGTTCGTTCGTCCATACAGACAAGAAATTAAAAATTCTTGTCGCATTTTTTGTAAATCTTTGAAAAGTCAATTAACAAAACATACGTGTCTCGCATTAAAAATTACATCTATTTATTTTGTATTTAATATAATATGCCTTTGTTAAAAAAATTAAAAAAGGAATGTAATAATAATATAATATAATAATTGAACAGATGTTTAGAAAAGCATCTAATCCTAAGCCACTTTGGCGTGTCGCTGCGACTGAATTATTACGTAAACCTGTGTGTAAACCACACCGAACTAAACATACATCTCCAACCTACAATATGGAGAAAACCTTCATAATGGCGGCGGTTCTGACGTAACGCTATGGGGTTTCCTGCATAACGTTCCATACACCCTTACATACAACAGCCAACAACTTCCGCTTCCAGTCCGGTCGATTCCAATTTTGTTCGAACTTTCATTATAATCGTAAAAATTGGCACACAGAAAAATAATAATCGAATCCTTGTTCACGCAAATCGGTGACGATGCACGGGTGGTATTAAAGATCATGTGGTATTAATGATCACGTGGTATTAATCATGACAATTTCGTCCGACCACGAGGGCTGTTACCCTCCCTCCCCTCTTCGATTATATTCCTCCGCTTTAATGTTTCGTCTCCTGAAGGTCATTACCATCTGAAGGTCATTACTTAAAATGAGCGCAGTTAAAATATTTAATAATCCCGCCATTCTGAAAACAAGCATGAGTTCTATCCGGAATGGAAGTTTAATAAACTGTGTACGGCAATTTTCTAGTGGCGTCTTGCCCTACAAAATCGCATCCAGCCTCGATTACAATTTCCGTGGATACAAGATAATTAAACATTAGTTCCTACTTTCGTTTTTCGTTTTTCTTTTGTTCAAGTTCGCGTTTTTAAAATGTCAGAATCGAGATCATCACGTGAGCGCCGCCATTTTGTTGTTGCGAGATTGTCACGCGCCGCTAATTGTGTGCATTATTTTATTTAGGCTTTGCGCCATAGCTATCATCCCGGGAACCATGTGACACAACACTACAACTTATAGAAACTTCTAAGCGATGATTTTTTCCACAGGATCAATAAAACAAATCTCGGGTGATTTTTTTAGCCTTCCGCTTGCGTTTGTCAAAAGTTTTGTGCGGACCCCCTTGAGAATTAAGATATTTTTTATAAACGATTTTCTTTAATTTAAATTAAAAACATGATTTCTGTTTCCAAAATAGATCGACTGACTTGTAATAAAGATTTTTCGGGTGTGTTTGTTATGTTATAAATAACTTATAATTAGCCTAGGATAAAACGCTTCCCCAAAAATATTTATTAATTTAAAAAAAAGTTAATTTATAAAAAAATAATAATCGGCGCCAACGTTTTCCTTTATTGTGGCAACGAAAAATAATTGCAATTTTGTATAGACAAAAAAAAATTAACTTAAAGTAAAAAGCACACGAAAAAAATCTTTACTACAAATCAGTTGATCTGATTTTAAAATAGAATAATACGCGATGTATAAAGTCGAAGTTTTACGGTAGTTCGTAAAATCAAAATCAGTATCCCTGGTGTGTTTCTAAATGTGAACTTGGAATCTATATAATGACTTCTTGCTCCGACAATAGGCACGGGATAAAAAGTGAAATTGGTAAAATTAATAATGGCGGGCAAAGCTAACGACGGAACAGCCTCTTTAAAAGCGCGTGATCCGGCGGGCGATTTCATCTCATTTAGGAATCGAATTCGGGTATCGAAATCACGGATTTGTTGTTAAATATCTCATCGCAGTGTAACGCTATGTCAAGCGCCGTGGAATCGATTGTTGATATTTTCTCCGAGAGAGATCGTACGACTTTTATCTACATGAGAAAGTTGTCGCCGTGGGCCATTGCGATACTGGGTAGATTAAAAATCCCGGGTATCGCAGGTCACTTTTAACGTCGGGGTAGGGGAAAATCTGTTATGTCATAATTATGGATATTATGCTAGATATCAAAGTAATTATCTTTCAAAAGGAACGAGGCACGTGCATAGCAATTATAATTTTATTTCAACTACTCTAGGTATCGATCCCGCCCAGGACCGAGCGCGCAGTCGTGACGCACGTACAAATATTTTTCGATTACGACGACGGTAGGGGTGAGGAGGGGTGGGGGAAGCATAAGCAGATATTAACTTAGCATTGATAGGTTTCGTTCCTGGTGATGATACCAAGTCGGTCGCCGTTAGACGAAATCTTCGACGAACTAGGATTCGATCTCAGTTCCTTTGGACGCTAGCTTTCAAATATCTACAAAGCTACTGAATCCTCCGTGCCAGGGCACTAACCCACTGGGTACAACAAAACTAAAATAAAACTTGTAAAACGAAACGCGTATTTTGAGCCTGTGTAATGTATCGATTTCATCAGATCGATGAGATTGTGGCTGATCTTAGCTCAAGTCTCCCCTCCCCCCTCTCCCCCAAACCGCCATAACAAACAACATATTAAAACCATGTTCTTTAAAACAATCAAAACAAAACACAGCAATAACAGGACGTAGATAAATTTAATTCCCGCCTAAAGTACTCATCTGGATGATTTTAAAGTACTCATCTGGATAATTTTTATTATTAAAGTGCATCTATTAAAGTGTGCATATCAAATCATATCATAACATATTGTATCTTATCTTATCGTATTATATCATTATATATATATATATATATATATATATATATATATATATATATATATATATATATATATATATATATATATATATATATATATATATATATATATATATATATATATATATATATGCGTGTGTGTGTTTACATATCGATAACTATTTACAGATATATATTATGTATATGATTATATATAAATATATAAATATATATACACATACACACACACACATTTATATATATATATATATATATATATATATATATATATATATATATATATATATATATATATATATATATATATATATATATATATATATTTATTTATTTATTAATTTATATAATGAGTAAACTTACGGCCGCAATTGATTAACACAGGAGCTCGTGTTAATGGGGAAAAAAAAGTTTAAACCTGTGTGATTGGTGTGTGTGTGTGTTGGCGAGGGGGGGGGGGATAAAAGTGAAAGAAAATCCAATTAATTAAACAATTCCCGATGTGTCGCTACAGATGTCGCCAGTGTACGAATTGTGTGCTCCAAACTTGTACTACTTGACACGGGCAGATAAGAATGGTTAATCGTGATTTAACTCCCCTGGTTTTGGGCCGCCTAGGCTCAATAGGGTTCAGGGAAAATACATCTTTTATTTGGGCGGAAGGTTGAAAGGAATTAGTGGCTGGAAAATACACGGCACGCAGATGCAACAGCAGACCTGACTGCGACAGGCCTCCTCGTTCATGGCTGTGACTAAATCAACAGTCTTAGGGACCAGAGGTGGCATAAACGGGGGGGGGGGGGGTAGTGAACCCCGCCCCCCGCCCTTTCGCGTGTACATTTATTAATTATGAAGGAACAGTTTGCAAGGGAAAACAATCATCTAATACGAGGCGCTATCGAGTTAAAAAAGAGGTTCTTAGGAAAGCCCCCGATTGTTTGTAGACCAGTGATGCCCAAAGTATATATATATATATATATATATATATATATATATATATATATATATATATATATATATATATATATATATATATATATATATATATATCTACACCAGTGTTTACCAAAGTATATATGGATCCACACCAGTGGTTCGTAAAGTATATAAGTATTTACACCCGTAGTTCCCAAAGTTTGACAGAAAACAGTTTATTTAGTTCTCGTGGTTAAAGTTGGTCGAAAAAATGGAAAAGAATTGTGTCGGTGGTAAATTGCGAACCACCGACTGACCGGTGCCACTGACCAGAAGTTTGAGAACTCCCACTCTACTCACCACACCAGTGACGTATGAACTCACGTGTACATCGACATGCTACACCCTGTACTGTACACCCTCTAAATTAACGTTTAAACTTGTTAATTAATGTTTATAAAACACAGCAGGCCCTGGGGCCGAAACATAACCGCCCTCGACAGCTTCCCGGTGCGGTCCTGCACCATTTTGAAACGGCTCCATCTGTTGCGCCGGGCTGTAATTAGCTCGTGGATTTCCAGGCAGGAAAAAAAGAATTAAATTACTATTTTGTGTAACTAGTATGAGTTAATCGCAATCAGGCATCGAACTTTTTGAAAGGACGCTAAAAGGGGCGATAATTTACTTTCTTGGGCGCGTACAAAAGGAAACGGACGCCGGTGGTCACAGCTGTAGAGTTGACGCATGCGCGGTGGATTTTATCCGATTGTTGTCTGCCAAAGTCCCAACTTTCTTTTCTTTGGTGGAAGTGTGTGTGTGTATGCATGTGTGTGTATGCATGCGTGCGTGTGTGTGTATGAGAAGGGAAAGGGTGGTGGTGGTAGTTTGCATTTACATTTTTAAAAAAAGTAAAAAAAAAAAAGCATTGATATGTATTAATCAAACCGTCACATTTCAAAAGATATCGGTAAAGATAAGTCCTATCCGTCTAAAATTAGAGATTAATTTAATCACACTCTCCCCTCCACCCAGAACCCCCACCCCTCCTCCCAGTCGTAAATAATCCCCCCCCCATGTATTCAATGCTGAACTACACATGAAACTTAAATGAAGATTAAGTCACGTGAAGATTAAGTCCCATAAAGGAAAGGAAAGACAACCTACAATAAAACGAAACAGACCAGGGAACAATATATGGCCTATAGTATTGATTACGTTCATTTCACTGTACACCGTTCTACATTGGGAGGGGGGTGGGGACGGGCAAGGGGAGAGTGTAGATATTATCAGGACTACACTTGGAATTTGATTAGAGGAAATTATGTTCTTTTTACGATATGCACTATAAAAGTCGTCCTGTTTATGGCATGTAAAGTTAGATAGGGAACCGAGTGATTATTTTTAAACATCTGATACTTAGTGAATTATATGGAGGCAAATTTGTACGATATATAGGACGCAGGACCAATGGGCTTTGAAATAGTTGGCAAATCAAATTGTGACGCAAATTATGTATGATATATCTAGGCTGAAAATATAATTGTTCAATACAAAATAAATGTAAATTAAATAATTAATTTAAGAGTTTTTAATATACTGGTAATTTCTTTCTCAGTATGGGTCATTTCTTTCTTCGTATTATTAATTTCTTTCTCTAACCTTTGTGCTTGATAGCGTTTTGATTATGGAGTAGAAAACATTAAACAAACTGTGTGCTTGTTCTAACGATGGGTTAGATTTTAGTCTAGGGTAGTTATAATGATTAAAGCTTATATCCGGGTATTATGCGATGTTTGGGTTAAGTATGCGCTAACAAGTTCTAAAGTTTTTAAAAATGCGTTAGCAGCTTTGGTGTTTAAAATAAGGTTGGATTTTAAATTGGGGTTCTAATTAAATTAATAAAATTGGATATAAAATTAAATTAAATTTATAATATTTAAAAAAATATATACTAGTGTACGATTAGTTAATTCGGAAAGATTTTTGCATTAATTAGCCTAGTAAATTAAAAATAAAAATAAAATTGTACCCGTGGTCAGACCTTTGGTCCTCATCTGTTGACAGCAGTCGGCTAAACTTAACATGGTGGTCACTCAATGTCAAGGTGGTCAGACAGTGTCCGGTTTAAACATCCGACTTTATGGTCCGTCTTGACTCAGTGTTCATTAAGTTATTAATTAATTAATCCATGATTTCGTCTTCAATAAAACACAGCACTTTCCTCAAATACACACGTGTTCGATTTTCCATACCATGAAAACTCAATCACGCAGAATTCGAATTCAAACGTTAATTCCGCAGCTCGCTTCACGGTATGAGCTCCCTACATTAATTTCCAAACGACACATTAAATTTGTAATTTATTTTCACGACTGGAGTCACAGCAATCCAAACATACAGCGTAGCCGTGTGGCCTACACAGATTTGAAAAAAAAAAACTGTGTTCAACCTGATCAACGGGTTAGACCCTCAATCAAGTGAAAACACGCTTTTGTTCAGCCGATACGCTCCCCCCACCCTCACGTCACCCGCCGCCTAACGCCCTCGACCTAAGCTTCGTTCTGTAATAATAAGAAAACTCTTTTATGACTTTACTGCCACTCGTCACCCAGACCATAGGATACTCCAACACACACCGGATTTAATGGCACGTCAGTAGACGGCTCGTCAAATAAAAGTTTTGTTTCATGAAAGTCATCTCCCTTTAAACAAGCTCCGTATAAAGTGGAGTGGAATTAAAACGCCTTTCACCTTCAAACGTTTTTCTCGTTACCCTTATTTTTTTTATCGGCGAAAATTTTATGGTCTACAAGTTGATATTTGATAGGACAAGTTTTCTGTTGCACAAAATAGTCTTTTTAAATTATTTCAAATATTTTAAAATAATTAATTCGAATTAATTACTCAAAGTAACAATACTTATGATCGATAGTAAATATTTAAGTTATAATGTTTTAAATAGTTTTAAAAAACATTTTTATTTCTAAAAAAAAAGCTTAACTTTGACTAAACATAGGACTATATATATATATATATATATATAATATATATATATATATATATATATATATATATATATATATATATATATATATATATATATATATATATATATATATATATATATATATATATATATATATATATATATATATATATATATATATATATATATGCGCAAAGTTTATTCAATCAAATTAATTAATAATTTTTTAACTCTATTATTAATTGCGCGCGCTCCTTAATCAAACACAACGAACAGTTTATCCCACAATTTCGAAATAAATATGACACAAACTTCTAATTTTAAAACACGGGAGATAATCGTAAAACAAATCGCATATAAACCTCATGTAAACACACACTTTATTTCAGTGTCCAGCAAGCCGACCACGTGACGAGGAGAAAAAAACAAACCACGACACACGGCCTGATCTAATAACGAAACTAGCTCACTGTTATCGATGTCGTGGCTATAAATAGAACACGCACGTGGGTCAACAAGATGAAGACTCACGGGTCAGGATGGGTCAGTGGCTAACGAAGACACGGACCAGCCAAACGGGCGTCTGCAGGTGAGGACGGAGCACATAAACAATAGGATGATCCGTCTGTCCTCACACATGCGGTAGGTTTGACTTATCCTGCACGAGCTAGGCGACGTCTTTAACCACAGGTAAGAGAGGCGAAGGACGCACGGTAGGGGCTGGGGGGTGGGGGATGGGAGGAGGAAATCACCCGCTCAGTCGGGATCTGTGACGGAGACAATGGATCGGATCGTCCTCGCGTTCTAGATGGTGAGGGGTGGGGGGGGGGGGGGGGGGGGGGAAGCGTGAGTGGGGGTGGGGGTGAGACAAATTGATGTAACTCACACAGGTGTAATTGTTTACTGTCCTTACACGCAATGTAAATGTAATGAAGAGAGGGAGGAGGTGGGCTTGGGGTGAAAATATCAAAGAGAGTGTTGGAAAATCATTGACCGACTCAGAACATTAATTTTTGTTTAAACACAATAGTAGGCCTACTTGAAAAAAAAAGCGAGTTACCGCCCTGTCAGGCAATGTAATGTAAAAGGGACCTAAATCATCACCAGAAAATTAAATCGTAAATACCTAATATAAACAAGCAGCTATTTTAATGGGTTTCATAAACAGTTCAGTAAGACGCGAGGTAGAAACGGATATGTCTGTATCTGCAGCACATCTTGTATCTGGCGGCTGATCTGGGGGGGGGGGAGGGTTTTAGTACCGGGGGACCCGGGTTTTGTTCTCGTGGTGACACGGGCAGGCGACTTTGTAAAGATGCGGATATTCTCGAGTGTAAAGTCACGCGGATTTGATGCGGTCACGTGACGTCGGATTAGAAAGAAACACCGAGAATCTTTCTTTAAAGGTGCTATCGATGGCAGATACTGTAAATATAATTGTAGGAACGCATATATATATATATATATATATATATATATATATATATATATATATATATATATATATATATATATATATATATATATATATATAAAGAGAGAGATAAGAGAGAGTATATTTCTACATATTCGCGTCAGTGTGTGTAAGAAAATATTAGTAATGGAGACTCACCTAAAGTGTCAGCACAGCGCTCATTTGCAGCGTTCTCTCTGGGATTCGAACCTTTCCCTATCGGGTCGTGCCTGAAGACGCTGTAGTCTGTAGCACTGGAGCTGCTCAAGGAGCTTGAAGCAGCCGTGGTGGAGCTGTGGGCTGGGGGTGGAAGACTTTTGCTGCTCACCTCTCGCGGCACGTCCTCGCACGTGCGGTCGGCCGTGTCGTCATCGACTGAAAATTAGACGTCACGGGTTTTGTTATATATATATATCCAATCAGAACAACAATAAGGAAAATAAAAACACGGCGATCTGATGAGTACAATCGAGACAACAATGGAGGAAATAAACGTACACAAGCAATCGATACCAGTAGCGTGTGGGAGAGACAAAGTCGCGCCTAGACCTCGACTACTCGTTTGGAGTCGGCGACTAATTTAGCCCCCGGATTGATCTCGGTCCTTCGCCAGGTTGCGCCTCGCTAATTGCATGTCAATGCGGCACTTGTGTGGTAGATGATGACGTGCGGATCTCGGGGCCGCACGAGGGGCCTCGGATTTGTCACGACATCTAGGGGTGAGGTACATGACGTCATCTCCCAGTTAGCCCCCCCCCCCCCGTCCCCTCTCTGGCAACATGTGGTAGAGAGTTAAGGGCCGTTGGGTGTTGTTTCAACCCGGAGCCAATCGTCAATATATACCACATTACAGCTACTCAAATACAGCGTGTGTGAAAAAAAATATCTGATATTGACTGGCGGAAATATATTGCTTGCTAATTAACAATTAGTCAGACAGAAGGCCTGTACGATTGTTCCTGTTTATCGATTGAGTTAAACTCAAATATCTGATTTTTTAATTAAGTTGTAGGTTATTCTGCTCGTAGATAGGTTCTTGATAGTTGCATTGGGAGAGGTGAGAGACCAATCATGTGTTCCTTTTCAAACAAAACATCGTTGCCTATTTTTTTCTTAAACACAAGCCATACAGATTTTTTACTAAACAGACAACTCAATCTATTTTTTGAAACAAGCAATTCAGGTTGTTTAAAACAGACAAATGTGCATATATTTTTACACAAGCAATTCAGATTTGTTTAAAAATAAAAGTTATGGAAATGCTACAAATAATATCAACACTTTTTTAAAGTTTCGAGTCTAAAAACGTATCAGAGATTGTAAGATTTTAAAAAAGTCTGATTGAACAGGAAGTTGATTTAACGCCGATGGGCTGGTTACTTAAGATTAAGTTCCAAGAAAAATGACGTGTTATAATGAAATCATCGGAAGTCTGGAAGAGTAAATAATTTATTGCTCTAGCACTGTATTGACTTAAGATAATAACTGCCGGGAATATATTAGGGACAGTTGAAAAAATGTAGGTCTTCAAGGCGGGTGTAGGTTGGGAGAGGGTGAGGTGGTGATGTGGGAAGGGGGTGAGGTGGTAAAGTGGGGAGGGGGTAATGTGGTGATGGGGTGTAGTGGTGAGAGGATGAGGTGGGGAGAGGATGAGGTGGGGAGGGGGGAGTGTGGATGGGGTGAGTTGGGGGAGCGGGTGAGGTGGTGTGCTGGTGAAAAGGTGAAGTTGTGTAGGGGTGTGGTGGTGGTATTGTGAGGTTGGGAGGGGTTGAGGCAGTTACGGGTTGAGGGATGGAGGGGTGTGGTGGTAAGGTGTTGAGGTGTGTGTAACATTTCTTGGAATATCTTTTTATAGCCAAACAATCAGACCCACTGATAATCTGTCGGGTTTTATCAGCCCAGCTAAAGACGGGGTTTGTATCTAAGGCAAGTTGTACCCCCACGATAAGATTAGTACATTCTAAGTGCACTATTCCTGGCAGAGAAGGGGGGGGGTCAAATCAGCTGTCACAAATTTAATTAAATAAATTTGACATGAATTTAACAAAACGACGTGTAAGGATTTATCAAATACAGATGCCGTAGTGATACGGATGTTACATAAGCAAGTTGCATCAACTTAGTCAGTTAAGAATGTTGAAGAAAGCAAGTCACGTCAACTTAGCTAAGAACGTTGAAGAAAGCAAGTCGCATCAACTTAGCTAAGAATGTTGAAGAAAGCAAGTCGCATCAACTTAGCTAAGAATGTTGAAGAAAGCAAGTCGCATCAACTCAGCTAAGAACGTTGAAGAAAGCAAGTCGCATCAACTCAGCTAAGAATGTTGAAAAAAGCAAGTTGCATCAACTTAATCAGTTAAGAATGTTGAAAAAAGCAAGTTGCATCAACTTAGCTAAGAATGTTGAAGAAAGCAAGTTGCATCAATCCTACCCGTGGGTGTTTGTGAAAGTTGCTGAAGACGTAAGGTCGAAGCCTTGGATTAAAATTTGAAGACTGCATGTGTGACAGCCGGACTAAGCAGCTAGTTTGCATAAAGGCACGCGCATAAATCTATCGACTTTTTTCTTTCTTTCTTTAATGATTGAATACGTCATAGCACGCTCATCGCGGAGTTTTGGGTTTAAGGTTATTGGGCGTAAACGGGAGGGGAGGAGGTGGGGGTAGGCACGCGACCGCAGTGTGGCAGTCACAGAGGGTACACTTTTTAAACATCCACGTGGCATTATCTTCATTAGAAAAGCTTGGATCACATGTGGTAGATTTGTATGCGATCGATTTAAAAAAATATTTAAAATTTTTTTTTTAATCCCCGCCTATCTTTAGTAAAATATGGCGACACCCTTTAGAATTAACTAACAATGCCCTGATTTCAGCCATGTTTTTTCCCCCTCTACCTAATTCTGTATTTCAAGTAAAAAAAAATCGTTATGAATAAATCTGCATTTTATAATGAAATCCATAAGATTAATAGCAGACGATCAAATAGCCGTATCCAAAAGTATCTATCCAATCCGTTAAGTTCGATATGAAAAGTCTTATTTAAAAAAAAAATTGTATTGATGGTGATTTGTTTAACAAAGGGGTGGGGGTGAAGGGCGGGTGTGTGTGTGGGGGGGGGGGGCTACTAGGCTGTGCTTGCAACAGATTGGCGGATTAAAGCGAATACGTTTCTGATTTAATCAATCTTCTCTAACGAAGAAGTTAGTCATATCCCTTTATCCCTCCAACTGGGCTGGTTATCCGTATAACGAAGATTTAGTCATATCCCTTATCCTCGCAGCGAATATTTTTTTAGTCATATCCTATTATCCCTAAAACAACAATGCTGGTCATATCTTTTCATCTTCATAACAAAGACATCAGTAATATGATTTATCCTTATAACAAAGACGTCAGTAATATGATTTATCCTCAAAACGAAGATGATAGTCCTATCCCTTGAGGATTGTAAAACATGATAGTCATACCCCGATATCTTTGTAAAATAAAAATCCGATTAATACAACTAGGTGTCGTTGGGATTCCAATGTCCTCTCCCCATTTGCCAGCCCCCCAGCCCCCGTTGTAGTGTAGATTGTAGTGTAATGAAGCTGATGTGTGTTCACCGTTTACCAACGTTTTTAGTGCTAGTTCTGGGTAGTAGTCTAAAATATAATTTTAATTAAATAATTTTACGTATTTATAGCTGTATATTTTAATATTTTCTTTTTCGCATCTCCCATGAACGTCCGCGCTTTAAAGCGCCACATTAACAGACGCACATGAAACAATTCACGGCCATAGTTGTCGTTCGTGATCAGGTTCGACCACACAGGACATGCAGGACAATTCAAAACTGCGCCAATAAAAAATATTAACATAATGCGAATAATAAAAGTACAAAGGCTACAAAAAACTTGCGTTTTAGTCTTGTTCCGCGTTCCCTCAGAGTGCAAGAACTCTTTTAACTCAGATTAACCAGTTCGCGAACCCAAGTACGATTAGAGCAATGTATCCGCCCGCTCAAAAAAAAAAATTCTTTGTTTCCAAGTTTCCGTTGTTTTAATCCAGCCCCAGAAATATTACCCCCACCCTCTTTCATTAACACCACCAACTTCAATTTCAAATTGCCTCATTACCAATTATGAAATGGTAATCTAAAAATCTATGGCAGACCAGTACGCCCATTTGCGCGCAAACTCCACCGAAGCAGGCGCGGAGGGGAGTGGGAGAAAAAACAATCAGACAGAGACAAAGAGACGAGACGGGTGTCATTACACGCGAAACAAAGACACAAGAAAATACAAGTCTTTATAGAGGGAAAAAAATAAAGGAAGAACAGATTAGAAAATAAATTACCAAGACGACTAAAAAGGAATTATTTCCACTTAAATTTCGAAAGGAAAACAAATTAATTAGCAGATAATGGAAAATTAATTTTGTAATAAGAAAATAAAACAAGGGAGAGAATCCAAGAGGATTGTTATTTCATGTTGGTAAATATTTGCGGATATTTTTGTTTTTACTGTTCCATTGACGTGGATCGATGTCAATTGTTACACACATTCTAATACCTTTTAATTGCTTTAGTTTAATGAGTCAGGCTCGGCCACAGATGGTTTGGGCAATTAGCGGACGTTTGACGAACGTTGTATTTAAGTATTTAATACTCAGGTTATCAACAATACAACACAAGGTAGGGAGGGGCTGGGGGGGGGGGATACCACTACCCAGAAGAGAAATAATACACACGTTTTGATGGAAGTTAACAACTGGGGGGGGGGATAAATGGTAAACTACACATGTAGTTAGTTAAGGTCACGCAAATATGAAATAAAGGCATCTAAGGATTTACTGACATACAGCACATAGCACCATGTGATTAACATCCAGCACATAGCACCCTGTGATTGACATCCAGCACATAGCACCCTGTGATTGACATCCAACACATAGCACCCTGTGATTGACATCCAGCACATAGCACCCTGTGATTGACGTCCAGCACATAGCAACATGTGAGTGACATCCAGCACATAGCACCCTGTGATTGACGTCCAGCACATAGCAACATGTGAGTGACATCCAGCACATAACACCCTGTGATTGACGTGCAGCACATAGCACCCTGTGACTGACATCCAGCACATAGCACCCTATGATTGACATCCAGCACATAGCACCCTGAGATTGACATCCAGCACATAGCACCCTGTGACTGACATCCAGCACATAGCACCCTATGATTGACATCCAGCACATAGCACCCTGCGATTGACATCCACCACATAGCACCCTGTGATTGACGTCCAGCACATAGCACCCTATGATTGACATCCAGCACATAGCACCCTGTGATTGACGTCCAGCCTGTGACGTCCAGGTGAGCTAGTCAGTT